GACTTTGCATGAAGAGCGGTGCCATGTCGTGCGCACTGTGGTGCAGAAATGGTGCAAATCCTCTTCAGCAACACTCTTCGTCCTTTTTGGTCCCTTCTCCCGATCCAATTGCGATTAGCTACAGTAGCGGCTTGCCATCGTGTGACCGGTGCGACACGGGAGCGACACGTTTTGGCCTTGCAAAGCAACACGGGTTGGTACGGTGTTTCAAGGTGTGACTCGGTGGAAGCTTCCATCGCCAAAACTGTGCTTTGAAATGAAACTCGACGAACCCATTGGTTCGGCTGTCAAAAACAAACGGGGATTCCATAGAACTCATCTAATTTGTCAGGAACTATGGGAACTAGTGATCTACTCTGAACCAACGATTTGTATATAAACCCAAATAAAACTGTCGCAAACAGTCCATTTGAGTGAACTGGAACGCGGTACACCCGGCTCATGCGCCTCCTGCAAGACCCGCGGATAGCCCGTGTCTTCGTCAATCTGAGCCGTAGGTCAAGCTTGCTGCTACAAACCAACGTTTAGCAGGGGCCAAAGGCCCCTGGAGGCTGGTCTCCCAATTGCAAGGCCCAAACCCAGCCCTACATGGTTGTGGCCGAAGCCACAGTCCATTTTGAGGTGACGATGTTGACCCGCAGCTTGGGAGGTTGACTGTTCTGCCACGTTTGCTCAAGCCAAGGCTTTGACGTCTTCAACCCGTCTGGCATCTGGGAACACTGCGGGAGGATCTGTGGACACGGGCTCATGGCGCCTCCTCATGCCTGGAAGGATGGAAGCAGGGAAACATAGGGAAACCCAATATTTATTAACAAACCGATGGACTCAATTTGACTCACCGCGCACAGCACACTCTTTCAACCCCAAGTCACTACTCAGGGCAAATGTCTGTGGTTCTACCCTTTTCTGAAGTAGTAAACTTATTGGATGCCCACGAAACTAAGCCTTAACCGGTTGACACCCAAATGAACAACATGAACTCACAGAACCAAAGAGCCTTGACACACACACACACACACCACAGCGGGCAGGTGTACAATGAAAACCCTCTTTCAACTTTCAACAGACTCAACAATGACCTTTGATGCGACAGTCGGGTATCCAGAATATCACCACAAATCAAAAGTCAGAGTGCTGGTGTTCAGATCCTGATGGCTTCTTCAACAGCAGCATCTCTTAGACTCTGAGCAAACAAAAAGGAGAATCGACATCTTCTGGGTCTGGGTGTTTTTTTGCAGGCGAAACCTTGGCAGTGAAACATCGTACTCAAAGGTCGGTGTCCTGGCAACTCGAATTAGTGATCAAAGGAAGGCCTTTAGTTCTCCTCCACAAGCTGAACAAATTGGTCATGTAAGGTCAAATGGTCAAGACTCAACCAAGAGGTCCAATTGTCACAACCAATTGATTTCATCCTGTTTCATCCAGTTTCGGACTTCAATGCTCAGCCAGTCCTTCATGCTTGAACAGTTCACTGAGCGATGTCCCATGGCAAGAGTGAACAACAGCCTGCCTTCATGCGCATAGCCCAAAGTCTGTGGAGGCACCTGCATGCTAAGATTGGATCCAGAAGCCTGTTTGGGTGCAACATGGTTGTGGATGAAGACATGAACATTGATCCAGGGACCAACAGGTGTCATGGATGGTGCCCTATTTTGTAACCATAGCCATAGCCATATTGATGTCTTCATTGTCATGGCTCTGATTCCCTATCCATTGGGCCTCTAACTTCATGATATGAACCCTTGGATGCTTGAAAACTCAATCAACCACTTCTTTATATTTTGACAACCTGCCAAACCACCCTACCTGGGAGCTGGCAGCCCACTCAAACCCCCACAAACAGTCATGGACCGCGCAATGAACCCCCACGGACCGGGATCGCCGGTGGGTTGGAACCATCGCACGGTTGAAGGGCAAGGTACTCAAGTCGCCCAACCAGGAGGGCCTCCTCCGTTCCACGCTGCACAGCGAAACGTGACGGGACTCACCTCCAACTCCACTTCGCGAAGCGACATGGCAATCTCTTCGATCTGAAGGAATAGTTTTAAATGCAAAAAAACGGGATAGGTTACTGTAGTGACTGTAGGTTTTTGGTCGATCGAACATGCTGGAATTAACACACCATAGGTTTTGATCAAATGTTCGTTAGTTGTGGCATTTTGTCAAGGAATGTTTGAAGGTCGGTGCAAATGTGTGGTCTGGTTGCATAGTGCGAATGCTGGTTCTGGCTGGAGTATTATCACAATATTGATGAATCATATTTGCATTTTTTGCATTTTTCCTTGCCCTCAAGACCAGCTCTGCCCTTTCGTAGTCGCATCTTCCAGAACTGGTCACCCTTAAAACATGATGATGGTATAAAATTTGGTGCAACACTCTGAGATATGCATTTCACTTGGAACACAGATTGAATTACATATGTTTCATTTTCATGAGACCTCGGCCCATACATTTTTATGACGCAGCTGCGTGACGCGACAAGGATGATGATGAATTTTCAACATGCGGTTTGTCCTTGACCTCTTCTCTTTTGCAACAGAAAGGTCGCAGCCTTCAAAACTGGGTAGCGCGGAGATCCAAGTGGAGAGGGTATGTTCAACACACGCACAAGGAGGACCCATTACGTCATCCAATAGCACTGGGGCCACAGCCTTCCATCAAACTCACACCTACTCTACCAACCTACATCAGCCCAATTTGGCCGATGTATTGAAAGTATTAGGACGTATTTGGGGTGGTGGGACCACAGGTGAACGGTTCAAGGCAAATGTTTGCAATTACGACCATCCTGGAGTAAATATAGTGTGTATACTTGTATCTATATATAACTATTAAATATTACATCATATTACAAAACCAAATATACCCCGAGACTCCATCGTCAGTCACATGTCACTAATGTCAAGTTGAGAGCCTACAAAGCTACAGACACCCCTACTCTGAGTTTTCCCCACCACAGCACAACAACCTTGGCTGTTGCTGGGCGCACATGCTGAGCAACCTGTGTGAATCACAGCAAGTCACACCAAGTCACGTCATGTCTTTCGAGAGATTTCCGGCGTATGCGTTGTTTGCACACATTGGTCTCCGGCGTATGCATTTTTCATTGACATTGGGACGTTTCGAGATTTTTCGAGGACCCAAGTCACGCCACCTCGCGGTCCATATGTTTTAATCGTCTACAGGGCTGTCATCACCCTCAAAATCCTTGAATTACGCACGTCTGTGGTTTGCACTGTCAGATACTGTTCGAGACCTTCCGCGGCTCTCCGTAGGTTGTTTTTGCATACATGGCCTCCGTAGCTGCCCTGAAGCGGAATCATTAGCTGCATAATATATGACATACATGAATTGCCAAAGATATATATATATATATAGATATTCATTTATATATATATTCAATTGAAAAACCTCGTCAAAATATTTAAGTCATATACATGTACATGTTAGAAATCCTTTACGTAACCCGCCGGCCTCCTGGGCAGGGAGGCAGGCTGATGTTATGCGTAGTTTCTGCCACGTGACCACATATTGAGCGGACCAATACGGCGTAGGTTCGTCACGATCTTTCAAGCTAAAACTACATTGTAGCATCAGCTCCAATTGGGGTAGCATCACACACAACTGGTGCTGTCACGTGTGTTTCAATACGACTCCAATTTAACTGTATATATATAACATATGTCGTAAGTGGTATAAATCGTCCGTGATTGGAAGACATACTGGAATCATGATCCCAAACCTGCGCAGCTTCACAGGGCCAGTGGACGAACATGATGTTTCTGAAGGTCGGGGAGTTTCCATCAGTACATCTTCGTCCGTGGCGAGAAAAATGGTTGACAGCTTCCTATAAGAGATCGGCGCCCATAAATGGACTGCATGTGGAAACACACGCCATACTCCTGTTAAGCATTGTTTGCTCGATTGGTCTCTCATGTGCATTGTGCAGCTGCGGGCGCAGGCATGAACGCGTAAATACAGCAAACTCCTTGTAAAGGAGGGTGTTGAAATTCCCCAGCGCCTGTGGTCAAGAGCACGCATGTGGATACATGATCCCAAGAGCCAAAGCCGAGCGGCTTTCATTCGAACCATTTCGGGCATTGACTTTGGCGATGTCCTTGTTGGAAGACAACTGGACAGTAATGCGGTTGCTTCGCTTGCGTTCTTCCGCTTGCATTCCAAAGTCTTGAAGATGTTTTTCCAGCTCTTCAGGCAAGATTGTTCATCAGCTCCACTTTGCCACCAATGCATCATGGTGGAATGTCAGATCTTTGCACGGCTGCGCAGCTTTCCGTATATCTGTCGCTGAAGGAACTGTCGGTCCAAAGTTGATATTTTTTCAAAGTAGGTTGAACGGCTACTTTCTTCTGTCTCACTTGGCTTGCTCTTGGGCGTGTGGACTTGTCTTCGGTCTGCATGGTCTACACGATCGATCCTTGATAGGTGAACTCCAATCCTCTGATTCAAGAAGCCGGAAACAACAGCATATCAGTGTCATGAAGCACCTTTCCAGCTCTGACTTCCGGGTCAATCGATACTCCAAGAACCTCAGAATACCCAATTGATCAGAGCCTCTTTGATCGAAGCGACTCTTGGACTAGACAAAGTGTTTGCCGTGCAGGTTTGCCTTCTTGCTCAGTGTGCAGTTGTTACTTCTGTGAGGGACTTGTACCAGGTGCTACCATACAATCAAAAATCAAATTCGTCAACCTTTCCCGCATCAGATCCAACATCAGTTTTCCTGTATGGCAGAAACCTGGGTACAAACAGGCTAAGGCTAGGTATAAGGTGGAAGGGGTTATGGACAAATCTGAAAACATGACCAGTTTCCTAGTGTTGTTGATACTATTTTCATATTATGTTCATATTATGTTTCATATCTACTCCAGGATGATTGTGCGAAAAAAAAAATGCGAAAAAAAACAATCAACCGTTTGGGCCTGGAACAAGTTCGGGCTCTTCAGGCCAATCAATATGCCTTCACTCCACCCCCCCCCGGCCGCATTGGCATCGTCCAGTGCAGCGAGTTGGCGATCTGTCAACGCGGGCGTTCTGATCATCGTATGAGCACGAACGGTTCAATTTGAATGTGGCACACTGGCACACTTGGAAAATATTTTTCCAAAGGGGCGGTCTTTTTCAACCCCGAAGATGGATCCGATCCACTCGGAAGAATAGGTCGTTCAGGATGGGATCGTGTCTTCCTATGTGTACCCGACTCCATGCAGCCAGTGTTCAGAAGGAATGTATCCTGTACCGAGTGGGGGGGCCTGCAACTGGCCAAGAATCAGGGCATACACCTGGTTGACGCAGTTGATGCATCTCAAACCATCCACTGAGCCAAGACCGGTGGGTGATAGCACGATCCAAAGAGCCGAAGGCACCGGGACGAGCCAGCCGCGTGCCCGAACAACAGAGTCGAAAAGAACATCCTCCAGCTTGGAACCGGCTTCCCTGTTCCTTTGGTGAGACAAGCATGGATCTGGCATCCCAAGGATTCCCAAGAGGTATGTTAGGTGATCTGGGACGACTTGTTCAAATTGATGTGTGGGGCGAAGAATACCACGTATCTCAGGCTGGATCATTCCGGCGCACACCCCCAAACACGGTTGCCATCTCTGACACGTGGACCCCTTTTCAAGGTGGCCAATTCGACCACGGACCTGCGGGGCGGTGTTCACCCGGTGACGAAACCGAAAAGGCCGTAAACGGGTCCCACCTTTTTGGCCTACGGGAGCCTCAAATGATTTAGCCAGTCAGTTAGTTATGACATTCCGGAACTATATAAGCAGCTATAGACCAACCCGCAGGTCCCTGAGTGATCCTGCTTGGTATTGTTTGGTCGTCCTTGTTGACCAAAAAGCTACCGAACAACGAGAGTGTGCGCCTTCCAATTCGACATCCTCATCGAACGCTGGTGGCCTGAGTTCCCAAGTTCGAGAGCCTGAGGTTGTTTGGATCTGCTTCTCCCCCAAAACAAGACCAAAAAGAGAGGGGCCTCAAAGCTAGGAATGCAAACCTTTACTGAATTGCCAATGTATTTGTGTTTTTTGTTGATGCCTTGCATCCATTTGCCATGCATCCACTGGGAATGGAATGGAATGGATTAAATGGATGGCATCCACTGGATGGAATGGATGCCTTGCATCCACTGGGAGCTCATGTAACAGTTTGTAGGCGAGTCGGAGAGCCACAAAACCACCCGAGGTGGACGCCCCAAGACCAAGACGATGGACGCCCCGAAACCAAGGAGAGCAAACCCTGCAGGGATCCCGGTGCTTGGAATACGTTTGGAGCATCCTTCATTACCCTACTTTCTTCTAAGTACCCTACTTTCTGAGCATGGTTTTCCAAGGGAAACAACATATCCGCTGCAGGAACCGCAAAATCCCAGGAACTAACATGAACTAACTGCAAACTCACTTCAAAGGATGTTCTCACAATCTGAAGGAACACTGAACTTCATGATGTTCATGTCAAACAAAAACAAAACATATATATATATATGAATTGAACACAATATCTATAGACAAATTCTAGGGATCATCAACTGAATCACAGAAGCTGTATGTTAAAGCCGATGGGATATATGATGACAATGAATTTAACTGTTATGATATCTGTTCTTGGGAACGCTGACGGCATGAAGCGCAAGAAAACGCTACCTTTCAGACCTGCTGTGTTCGGACCAGTGGACGCACAAGCATTGCCCAAAAAATCCCGGCCCAGGGTGAGGTTTTATAGATCGTAGGGAGGGATTTCCCATAGAAAACATCTTCATCCACTGTGCAGGACTCAAATCCAATTGATGTCCCTACTACTCACTGAGTCGAGTCACGTCCGCATGGCCAGAGCCAGCTCCGCTTCGGGGTAGTGGCCTGAGAAAAAGGCGGATGCAAATCTCTGCATAGACAACAGTCCTTTTCTTGTGCCTTTGTGCTCGTATTTTTGTCTTTTTGCCTGTAATGTATAATTAGTTGTCTGCTATTTCTGATGTCCTTCTGTGCTTCCTATGTTTGTATTTGTTGCCGGCAACAAGGATGGGAGGAAACAACTACACTCGGTGACAAAGTATATAGTGTGACCCAGGAGGGGATGGATTCCACGGATTTGGGAAGCGGATTCCCGGATTCCCGTGCTCCATGTATTCCATGGCACGTGGGAAATGACACTCTTCTGCATCGCAAAGGGGTTCTCCACGTCTATGGTCGTTAGAGTCTTAAATAGATAATTTTCCAGCTTGGGGACGATGGTCTTCTTGTTTCATGGTTGTCATACTGTGTCATCTCAAACATACCATCTACAGTATAGGATCTCTAGGCCTCATCTGGGTGTGTATCTTAAGAGCAGGGAGACCTTGCAAACATGCCTCGAACAATTATCACAAGACTCGACTAATACCATTTGGTTGGGGGTCTCCCATGGTCTCGTTTGTACACACCCAATTGAGATAACTGTTTGTTCTCCTGATTTTGTGCACCTGTTTTCCTTTCAATCCTGAAAAATCGACGCTACTGGGTGGAGGCCATCGCTATTAGGTTGGAGGCCATCGGTACTAGTTACTAGTAACAATAAAGCTTTCTAGTAACTAGAAAATACTAGGGGCTCCTGGCATCGCTGCTAGGAACAAGAAGCTACTAGGGGCTCCTGGCATCGCTACTGGGAGCAAGGACGCTACTAGGGGCTCCTGATCTTACTACTAGTAACTAGATGTAACTAGAAGCTTCCTTGGGAATCACATTGACACATCGTCGTCACCATCGTCGTTTGACCACGCAGTTGGTCTGGGACATCCACAGATTATGCCCCCAATGTCCGGACGGGGAGCCAAACGCACGACCTCAAACGACGTCTTAGACCAGGACAACATCGAATCCCTTCCCTTCGAACACCTCCCAACCCAAGGTAACTGCGTGATTGCACCAAGCATGTGCATGTTTCCCCCATTTGTTATCTTTCCCCAACCTGGTCGCTTAGCCACCATGAGTTCCAAAAACCACCCAAATCAACCACGCGGCATTGACTTCTGCACCCAGTGTTTTCGAATCCATTCCGAATCCACTTCCCATCCAGTGCCTCGGGTGTCTGCGTAGGTGCCGGCTGCAATCTTCGCCTTGTGGGTACTGGAGGAACCCCAGCCCATGACCTGCCGCGAAACGGTGCAAACAAGTGTGGGCCCGTTTCTTCCACCAGGGTGTGAACAACGGTATAAAAGGGATCGAAGGGATCTCATCATTTTTGTTGGTCGAACTGGGGTTGTGGCCAAGGTGGGAGGATGCATATATGGATGAATGGCAAGTTCTTCCCTTCGCCTGCTCAGCCTGCTCCGACAATGTCCAAGAGATTCCAAGAACATTCACGTCTTGCATCATATTGCATCTTCGTGTCATGCAAGTTTGGGATGGCCTCCATCCAAACAAGGAAACACGGGGACTTAAACATGGACCACCTGAAAACATATCTGATCCTATCTGAAAAGTTTCCACAAACTCTAAATTCACACTAAGGAACCCATGATCCACCGATGTTCACCATTCCACGGCTCTTCTGCGGATGTTCGGCGCACCCTTCGATCCACGTAGCAGTAGCGAGCACTCGGATGAAGCCTCAGGGCGGTCTCCCGCGTGGAGACCGTGGCAGGCGCGGAGAGACCGCACGGGGCGTGTTTTCAGAGATGCACTGTAGGGACGTAGCGATGCAAAGCACTCGAATATGTTTGGTCATGACAGTGGGTCCATCATCCCTACACATATACTAATCATGCTTAAATACACAGATTGGTATTTTATTGTCTTTTTGAGGTATTGGAGGTGGGTAGCTATGTTACATGTATCATCATTGATCATCATTTATCCCTCTATGGAGGAACGGAAACAAGAAAAACAACTGCCTTCAAATGAAATCGAATTTGATGTCTGTGAGCTAACTCGGGTGTGTCGGGACTGGAGGATTCCTGAATGGGCACTGGGACAGGCACTGGGAACATCTGGGAACATTCCAAAGGAATCCCAAACATGTCATCATTTTCTGGATGTTCGTCTGGTCATGTCTGGTCGATCCGGATTCAAGACAAAGCTTTTCTGAGGCTGTTTCATGCTGCGTCTGCACATATGTTCCAACAAAATCCCTCCTCCAAGTGTTCACCCTTAGCAAATTTTCAGGTCTACAAAAGACATCTCTGCAAAGAAAGGTGTAATATAGATTATTATAGTGTGTTATTAGGTTGGAGGCCATCGCAAGTAGGTTGGAGGCCATCGCTACTAGGGTGAAGGCCATCGTTCTTAGGTTGGAGGCTGTTGCCTAGTAACAAGAAGCTACTCTTTCTGCTTCTATATCTCGCCGACCTCGGGCGCCACTCCACGGGTCTCCCCACTTTCTCAGCTTCGACCGGGCGGGGGGACCCGGTGCCGTCCGTCCGCGCGCCGACTTCACCGCTGGCCTTGGAGGCGTGGGTGGCAGGCCAAGCTTCTTGGTGGTGGATCTCCGGGCAGCAAGTTCGGCATGGAATCGTGGATTCTTCGAATAGGAAGCACTGGACATGGACCCCGGAGCCACATGCCGCAGGACTGGACGACAGGTGCTTTTTGGCCAGAAGCTTGCATGCAACTTCTTGAAACATTAGACAGTGCCTGGGCACATTTACCCCTACGCTGCAGCAAGAGCTGCGGAATGGGCATTGTCCAAGGGCGGAAGGGGTGCTGCTCAAAGTGATATGTCGGTTGTCAGCAGCAAGACAGGATTAATTAATGTTCAAATTGATGGCAAGTTTGGCGCAGGATGAGAACCAACAAATCTTGATGAACGTATTGTACAAGGACACGTTCCAACATGTCCAAATGGACATGCAAGATCATGCAAGATCACCAACGGCAAGTTCTGCGCTTCTGCGCGTGCATCTGTCTTGCAGCCAAAGCGAACATGCCAACGGAATGGACGACTCCTCACGAAGATCTGTTTAAACACACCTATAATTTAAATGCAGTAACATCTTTAGCTGCTTGCGTTTGTTATGTTTCCTGTTTCCTCATTTAAAATTTGCCAGCGCAACAGCCACTACTTTGTCGTTCAGTTCAGTTGTTTTGAGGTTTCTAACAATATAGACTCGAGTGTATGTATATAATTATGTTGTCAGATCTTTGCAAACCACTCCCCCAACGACCTGTCGACCAGTCTAAACCTTTCGACCAGTTTCACGGTCTGAATTGCCCGAATCTTCCGTCGGCACACCCTGGTACGGCGACTCCCTTCTCACGCCCGCAAAATCCTCTTCACGGTGGAAGGATGCTCAGGTGTGCTTCAACTTCATTCCTTGCAATCTCCTTCGCTGAAGGATCTGAACCCAAGCACCATAGCTGCTACCATAAAACGGTTCTTGCCATTTCTGAGTCTTTCATGGTCTTTCAGCCCTTGGTTTCATGCTCCAATCTGGGTCCACGGGTATGAATCATGGTGCCAAGGAAGCTGGTGTCCATTCACCCTGGTGAAGGTAGTGCTCCACATTCCCAACTGATGAGTCCAGGGAGTGGGAAGACTTTCACCTACACAGCAGTCTGCTGGGTTCACCACCTCATGACCTCATGGGTTCACATTCATTTTTTCGTGTGTTGTCACAGCACTTCTACCTGACTCATCACTCAAAAATAAATAAATCGACTCAAAGCCCCGCCCAGCCGCCCAACCCTACGTCCCCGGCCGTCTTGTGGACACGCCCGTCGCCCGCGCCTTTGCAGCGACGCCAAGGCCTGGTCGAAGCTGCCGGGCACCGGGTGGCCATCAATGCGAAGGATCGTCCAGCCCACCTGAACCTGTCGGTGCTCGGGTGTCTGCGACTGTCTGCGGTTTTCGTGTGCTGAAAACGGCTGCGGGGTGCCACCGTTTTTTCGGCAAGCGTGGCCATTTGACTAGTCCCGAGGTATGATCAAAAGCCACAAAGAAGCTCTCAGAATCCTTGACCTTGAAATCCAAGTTTGGGCCAACTGGGTCTTTGGGTTTGGACCCCAACAGCTGGAGCAGCTTGCCGACACCCCAAATCAGGGCACCCACTTACACACACACACACACCTGATGAAGAGATTCTGGGTGTTGACTTCCAACAGACCTTGTTCCTCCTGCTTCGTTGGTCTGTTCCTCCACCCCGCGCCCCAGCCGGTAGACGCCGGCCCGCCCGGCCCGGGCGCTTAACGGCCTTGCTGCTCGCACCAATGAAGCCCGGCTTCACAGCTTTGACTCTCATCCTTAGGTCGGGGGATCACACAGCCGCCCCGGCGTCATGAGACAGCCCGGTGTGAAGTAAATGACCAGGTTGTCAGCAAAACCTGGTTGAAAGGCTTCAAAGGGTGGACACCTGGTGTTTCACCGGTTAGTTTCACCTGGTGTTTCACCGGGGACTTTGGGGTCAAGGCACATGGTCAAAGCTGTTAGCTTCATGACGCTTCTTCAGCGTCACTGATCCAAGGCGATGTGTGGAGGCGATGGGATCTTCCCGGTCCGGCTTTCTTCACGACTGGGTGAGGCCAGTGGGAGTGGGAAATCGAAATGCTCTGTTTTTGCTTATGAAAGCTACACAAGTCTGTTCAGGCTGGGGATTCTATGGAGTTGTTCCATCAAAAGAACATGGATACCCTGAGCCGCCTGAGCCACAGCTACATATTAGGTTAGAAAACACCCTCCAAACAGAGCTAGTTCGAATGAGCTAGAGTTGCAGCCTGCAAATACGGATACATAGGGAAGGTTTCAACAAAAAATACTACTCACCTGTGATGATTCGGTCGTTGCAGGACATCGGTCAAACCGGTTCGGCGATGTCCTAAGGTGAGTCTGTCTGTCTTGAGGCCAAAAGGTGACCAGGTGTCTTCCCCTTCTGCTTGAAACACATCAATTCAGCATGGACAAGCAAAAACACCATATTAGGTTGGACTTAGGTACAGCTAACACCCCATGAATTCACGGCATGTGAATCCAATGATCATCGGCATCGGGCTTGATCTCTCGAAATCATTCAACAACAACAAGCTACAACGAAAAGCCTTTAAGGCACCGAAAGGCCTCTAGTACAATCTAGTACATTATATAGTACCCTAATGTACCCTATAGGGCCTTTTTGGGGCTCCAAATACCTTCTTGAAAGGTCGCCCACCCCACCCCGCAAAACCCCGGTGTAGAAAGGTCGCCCTGACAGACCCTCGGGACCTGTCATCGGCCGTCGACGTTTGGGCAAACAGGTGGGAAGAGACCTTCTGGAAGGCAGCCCGGTCAGTGTGCTTTTTGCAGGCCCAGTCGGCTGGAGGACTCGATCTCCGTTGATGTTTTGGGGTAGCTTAGAGCTAGTTCAAGTGAATCAACATCAATGGAATTATCTCCGAGCACCCAACAGGATTCATAAACTGGCAAGCGAATCCCCTTGAATCTCATGTGCGCTGAATCTTTTATTAGATCATTACATCCATACAAGACCAATTCTTCATGATCCTTCCAATCTTTTCTGCGACCGGTCCACCAACCATGCCCCGCCGTCCTCGCCCCCGTCTTCTCCCAGCGGCGGCAACCTCATGCTAAAGTCCAAGCCCAAAGGGCTTTCGTAGAACCAGACGTCCCTCCTTGGAGAAGTCGAGTCCGTCACAAAGGGTGTCACACCGGAGTGTGTCGACCGCACCGAAGTTCCTGGATCGTGAAGTCTTAGACTCGGCGACCGGACGGTGGTGTGAAGATTCGCGGTGTGATGCGGTGTGGTTTGCACAGTCTCCCTTGTCATTGTCCATCTCAACACCATGGGAGTTGTGTCCAATGCCCCTACCACGGAGTGATATCAAATTCTCCAAATTTCAAGACTGAGGCGATCGACCCGAGGTACACGTGATGAGTAAAGGTGGAACATGGTGGAACCCAACAGCAGAAACTGACCAAGTGGATTCCTACTGCCCCTACACCCTGAGCCAAGAGTGGCCAGCTCGCAGCTTTTACTCCCAGTCCTTTCAAGGAGCAGAGGATGTCGACTTGCACACTTGAGAAGAATGATTCCTGTGGACTCAAGTGCATCATGCACTTGTTCATCCGTCATACTCAAACTCCTCCTCATTGAATTCACCCTTCTCTTTGAAGTCGACTGAATGTTTGAGAAGAATGATTCCTGTGGACTCAAATGCATCTTCATGCACTTGTTCATCCGTCATACTCACCCTCCTCCTCATCGAATTCACCCTCCTCTTCAGCAGTTGCATCCTGGTATTGCTGATACTCAGAGACCAAATCGTTCATGTTTGACTCAGCCTCAGTGAACTCCATCTCGTCCATGCCCTCACCCGTGTACCAGTGCAAGAAGGCCTTGCGCCGGAACATGGCCGTGAAGTACTCGGCCACCCTCTTGAACATCTCCTGAATGGCCGTGGAGTTGCCTGCAAAGGCGACAGCCATCTTGAGCCCTTTGGGCGGGATGTCGCACACGGATGCCTTGATGTTGTTTGGGATCCACTCGACAAAGTAAGATGAGTTCTTGTTTTGGACGTTCAGCATCTGCTCGTCGACCTCCTTTGTCGACATTCGGCCGCGGAAGAGAGCTGCTGCTGTCAAGTAGCGGCCATGTCGAGGATCTGCTGCGCACATCATGTTTTTAGCATCAAACATTTGCTGTGTGAGCTCTGGAACAGTCAGCGCGCGGTACTGCTGCGAACCGCGAGAAGTCAAAGGCGCAAAGCCAGTCATGAAGAAATGCAAGCGTGGGAAGGGCACCAGGTTCACAGCAATCTTGCGCAGGTCGCAATTCAGCTGGCCTGGGAATCGCAAGCAGCACGTCACCTTGGATTTGCTGCCACCGGTAAAACAATGAAACATGCATATTCAATGTATATACTGTGTATATATACTGCCACTGTACAACACTATGGGCATTCCCCAACCATGTGATTTCACCTTGCGCACAGCGCCATGTCTCTCGTTTTTGTGAGGAGGTCGGCTGTTTCAGGTCAGTGACGCCGGACATGGCTGCTGACACCAGGTGATTGAGGTCGCCATAGGTTGGTGTGGTGAGCTTTAAGGTTCGGAAGCAAATGTCGTACAACGCCTGCAAGAGCGGTACAAAGGGCGACAGAGGGCGATGGCTCGTGGGGGGTCAAGCATGGGTTTTTCTCAGGCAGTGGCAAGTGGCAGTGGCAAGTGTAGAGACTCCGACCAATGGGTTCTCTATATGGTGTTCTTCCATGCTGCAATGCTCCTTTACCAGGACTTCTTTGGGGTTCTCACTATACAATCAGAAACCCACAGACCGACCCAACTCTGTCAACCCTCACTCAGGTCACCTCCGTCACCGAAGCGGTGTGCAGCTTCGGTACCGCCGAAGGTACGGAAGCGGTGCGGTGCGGTCGGGTGCGGTGTGGTGTGTTTTCTGTTTTTTCCCCATCGGGTTTCGGGTTGGGACGCAGGACTGGTTCGGACGCAGGTATGTCA